AAAAATACATATAATTTGTTAAAAATTAAAAAAAATTATTTATTATATCTTTACTAAAAAATATGTTATTTAATAATAATTTTTTCTAATAATTTAATCTAAAATTACACTACGAATGGATAAAAGGTTTATTGAAATAGTCATTTAGAAAATACGCATATCTAAATTGATAAGCATTCCAATACTATCAATATTTGAAAGCAATACTACCTTCTTGGTAAAAGGTACATGTTATTAGCATTCTTTAAAAAAAGGTTGTATACTAGAATTTGAGTTGAGTATTCGAAAAGAACATACATACAAATTTTTCTTTAATGATAAAAGTTTTGAGTAAGAAAATTCAGTACATGTTAAAATTTAAATATCAATGAAAATATTGTTTTGTAAAATGGTTGGTTAAGAGAATATACACATTAATTTTATGAATATAATATGGAGACATGTGTCTTTAAATAGAATGTAATCAGTCAGGGGTTTTTTTTCAAGTAAGGAGGATGTAAGAAAATCACTGAAAACATAATATACATAACTTTAACATGCTTATACTTTTAAATTTTGTAAGAAAGTTTTTCTGTTGAAATTTGTGTGTGTGTGTATTTTATGCTTTTCATATTATACAAATTCTTTACTTAGTATGGTAATATTTATTAGTATTGAACATTTATTTGCAGAAAATTTTAACAAATGTATCTCCATGTACAAGATTTTGTGTATTACTGTAAAGAAAATAATAACGTAGGTTAAAATGATTGGTGAGATAATTAGAAGTGTACAATATTTATGAAATAAAATAGGTTAGGAAATAAATTAGTGTAAATTCCTTATAAATATATTATTTTAATTATTTTGTCTTACAAAATAATAGACTGTGTTTATTTCTAAATGTTTGGAAAAAAAATGCATGCTAAGACATTTTATTTTTTTGGATCAGCAAGAAGTTGTAGGGTTTGTTAAAATAAAATAGTGTATGAAAGAAAAAATATTAGAAGCAAAAAGAGAGTTGAAAGAAAATTTCATAAATATTTTAATTAAAGTACATTTATGTTTAAAAAAATTCTGCATTTCATTGAAGGTAACTAATTGTTAAATATTTATAAAATCGTAAATTTTTTCGGAGTTGTAACTATTCTGGTATATGATCTTCAAAAAGTTAACATAATAAATCTTTCAATACAAATACTGTGCAGTATTTAATATTGAGTAGAAAATGTGAAACTAATATAGTGTTTAAAAAGAAATAAAAGAGATTTTTAAGAAAAGCCTTAAATGCCAAATAAAGTTTTGGATAATTAAATTTCTAATGGAAGTGAAAAAAAAAATGTTGTAGCACACTAGGGAAAAATTATAAATTAGAAAATAAATAAATTTCTTTCCAAAAATAAATTTTGTGAAACATAACAAATGCAATCGAAATAAAAAAAAATGGAATTAAAAATGCATAAAAGAAGAAAAAATAATTTTGCGAAAAATAAAAATAAATTCTTTTACGACAATAAATTTTGTAAAATAAATAAATTTAAAAGAAGCAACAATAAAAAATAAATTCCTTTATAAAAAAAAGTTTCGTAAAATAATAAAAAAAAATTTAAATCAAATTGAAATAAAAAAAAAATAAATAAATTTTGCAAATAGAAAATAATTATTTGTGTAATAATATAAATTTGTAAAATAATCCAAAAAAAAAAAAAAAATTTCAAACTAATGAAAATGCATGAATTTCGTAAATGCAGCAAAATATATAAATTAAAATTAAAAAATCCTTTGTTTAAAAAAAAAAAAAAAATCAACTGTAAATTAAAAATTTATTAAATTGCCATCTATTATTTATTATACTTATATTATTATACTATAAATTTTGATGCTGTACCGTTTCCCACTTCAAGTATCTTAAGCTCAAATTTGAACTCATTGTGGTTCTTTTTCTACAGCATTTTGAAAGTGGGACTTTAAATATAATCACGCTGTATTCTTGGATGTTATTTCATTTTTGTTTTGTGTATTCAACCTCGTTTTTATTTTAGAAATCAACGCTTTATTTTGCTTTTAAAAATTCCAAAGAACCATAAAATATTTAATTTATTCAAACCGTACTCTTAGAAAAATTGTTCTTTCATTGTTCATCTAACCATTGTTCAGTCATCTAAAAGCAGATAAGCAAAAAATGAGGCAGCTACTTTCTTGCACTTGCTTTTTAAAAGCTTCAGAACTATTAATATTCTTTTTCGAAAGTCGAATTATTTTAAACGGTTTGCTATCTTCAAAGCATTTATATTTTTTCGTTTTAAAGTATACTTGAAAGCAAATAAATACTATTTGACATAAAGATCAATAAGTAAAAGGAGCAAACAGAGAATTTAAGAAATTTTTATTTCAGAAACTACAATAGTGCAGATCAATTTTGATGTATGGCTATAAATGAAATTATTTCATGTATATTTTTTTCTATACAAAAATTCTTCATCTATTCTAAAAAATTTTCATTTGAAAAACTATCCAAAAATTACAACTTTATAATAGCTTATCGGTCTTTTTTATGTTATTCTTGTTTAAATATAATGGACAATCATTATCATTCTTTGTACATTTTGATTGAAAAGAACTTCGGCATTTCATTTCGTAATTCTCATAGTGCAGGGTGATTATAATTGCAGTACCATTTTCAAAATACTGTAACAAAAAACTTCTCTTCACATTTGAACTGAAGATACTTGAAGAAGGAGGAAACGGTATGGCATCAAAAAAAAGTTCCAAAGTATGTTAATAAACGGCGCTGTAAGTGGCATACAAAGGGAATTCGGCTGTCAGTCATATTCTCAATCGGAATGACAACATATTTGGCAAGAGTTGCATATTAAACCAACTGTAGTGTTCAATGTGCTTGATTGGTGTTTTTTTTTTTTTTTTTTTACAGAAAAATTATTTACAAATCATTCAACAGTTGTGACACTTTTAGTAGAAAGCCCATCCACATAGCAAGGCAATCGGGAAGACTTTTTGAAAATTTTCTTTGATGCCATGCCGTTTCCCCCTTCTTCAGTTCAAATTTGAACTCATTGTAAAGAGTGGTTATTTTTTTTACGGTATTTTGAAAGTGGGACTTTAATTATAATTACCTTGTATAATAAATATATGTTATTAATATTTCATATTGAATTGAGAAGTTAAATACAAAAGGTTGGTATTTAATTCTTTTAATTTGATTTTTCTAATGAAACCTGTTAAATAATAGATATATTAACTTCATATGCTAAATTAATTATATATCTTAAGTATACATATTGGGTAAGTAAATTAATTCATTTATCGATCGCAATTAATTTACAAGCAACATAAAATACAAAATTTTTCAAAATATAGGGTGGCATAATATAAAATGTTGATTATCAAAAAGGAATTTCAAAACTTTGAAGATTAAAAATATTCTGGTGAAAGTGTATAAATTTTAATATACATAGATAATTTTAAAAATTAGAATAAAACTAAATTTTTTATTAAATGATAAATTATTAAACTTTTATTTATAAATAATAATAAGTTGAAATATTCATTAAAATTTTTATTAAATAACTTAATTTATGCCTTGCCGCAGAAATTTACTGCAAGAGTCTTTTTCTTTGTTATTTTTGACTGCATATTCTTGTTTGTATATTTTGAAAACAGGGGCCTGACTGGTCGAGTGGCTAGCGCTCGGTGCCACAGGTTTCGGATTCGAGTTCCGGCTGTGCCATGGATGTTTTTAGTGGTTCGGAACCCACTTTAAACCGTAGGTCCCGGTCCAACAAGATTGCAGAGAATTGCGGGGGTACTGTTACTTCGCGTCCGTAGCTTATATACGGAAATACATACACTCAAGAGCCAAAACATTATGACCATCCCTACATTTTGCAATGAACTCGCGTGGATGGCACGTGATCAGGTGGATGTGGTATTAAGTGGTGCTATTAATCCATACCAAGGCGGGTTGAAGCTGTGTTGCGCGCCAAAGGTGGGCCAACTCGTTATTGACAGGTGGTCATAATGTTTTGGCTCTTGAGTGTACACGCACCTCCTGGGTAGTGCGAAGTGAGTAACATCTGTTCAGAGCTTGCCTTAAGGCATCAAAGACAAGTGTCTAAGTGTTTGCCAGCTGCATTAGAACAATATATATATATTGAAAACAATTTTTTTTTGTGACATCCTTTTGCAAATTAAAACTGAGTTTCGATACATGGTAGAAAAAGGAAATGAAACGCATTATATTTTTATATAAACGTGTGAGTTTTTATTGGAATTACACGATTTTATTTTGTCATCAGAAAGAAGAAAAAATAATAATTCTTAGTTAAATTTTGGAGAATAATTAGTTGAATGCTTATAAAAGATAAATAAATAATAATAAAAAAATTTTAGAGTGTAGGAAAGTATTTTATGACTTGAGATAAATAACACGCAATTCGTTGATAAATTTCATTAAAATTTTATTAATAAATAGCATAAAAGCAACATTCAACATGGACAACATTAGTCCTTTTTAAAGTGTCTGTCAACATGCGTAAAGCCTCTCGCATCGATAGTCGGACTGTTTGGTCTCAGACTGTTTGATTTCTGTATTTTCTCAACATACGATGTGCAAATGCTGGAACAATTACCGATAAAATTCTTCACGGAAGCACTGTTCTCCTCTCAACACCTTTTATCAGCAATTATACATTTATGAAAAGCTATTTTGGATCGACCATGAAAGAAGATCTGAAGGAACTTTTTAAGAAAAACATTTTCATAATTATTGAAAGTGTAGTATATTTGGGATTAAAATGCAGAATTGTCTTTTGTAAACGCCTTAAGCTATTCTATAATACTTTGTTACCTGTTTATTTAGTGCTTTTATTTTTATAGGATATATATTTTCTGTGTACTCGCTTCGGCAGTACATATACTAAAATTGGAACAATACAGAAGATTAGCATGGCCCCTGCGCAAGGATGACACGCAAAATCGTGAAGCGTTCCACATTTTTGGCCAACGGCCATACCATGCTGAATATACCGGTTCTCGTTAGATCACCGAAGTCAAGCATCATTGGGCGCGTGCCGTTGGCATTCACACATTTGGGACCTGAATGGCCGAGTGTCTGGTGCTCGGTGCCACAGGTTTCGGGTTCGAATCCTGGCGGCCGTACTTTAAGCCGTAGGTCCCGGTCTCCTATGACTGTAAGAGCGTCACGGAGCCAAAGTCAGACATCTACCTACGGGTGCTCCATCACAACAGAAGCTGCTTCCTTCCTCTTCATGAGTGAGTGCGTATGGGCTCGTGGGCTTGGCTAGCCAAGTGGGATAAGAAACAACAGCATATTTTCTGTGTAAGCAAGATTGTCTTATAAAGGTGTGCAATATACTGCACCTTTAATGTCGTAAAAAATACTTTGTTAACGCAAAACTTCTTTTGTAAAGGAGTTCAATAAAAAGTCATTGAATTTATTTCACAGATGCTTTTATATCCATTAACATTATAGTACATCATATGATAGAGAAGAATTATGACACGAGAGTCGGTATTAAATATCCTACTCAGTTTTAGGAATTTTTTTTTTAACCACCCACCCCCTGCTATTATGTCTGATTCGGATAAAAGATTGTTCATGGGAATGTTTCCTTTGATGGTAAATAACATTAATTGCTAAACTAATGCGTCTGAATTGTGATAATGAAATTCTTACACAGGTCCAAATGCATAACAAACGGATTTAAACTACCTCTTTACTATATAAAAAAAAAAAATTAAATAAAAAGAAAAATAAAACTTTAAAACCTTCCATATTTTTCTCTCTTGCTCGTATTCGCCAACCACTGTAAATTGCAGGCATATCGCCTTCATTTTATCCCTTTTAAAGAAACTTAGGGCGCATGCCTTTTGGCTGGTGGCGGTAGCCTCTATTGCAATATTTTAATTTAATGCGAAAGATGACCCGTGGGGCGGCCTGTGACCGGAATGCTAAATATCTGATCTAGGGAAAAGCAATTTACAAGGCAGCGAACTAGCCGAATCGAAAGTTTACGCTGGTGTAAATGGATTGTCTGTGTTTGACGAGGAGTACAGGCGCCCTAGACACTACCCTTCTGGTTGTCAGTTGCAATTTGCTAAACGAACAAGCCCAACCTTATGAAAGCAATTAGACGGGTGTAGGCACTGGACTGCCATCTCAGCAAAACTGGGCTGATGTGTCATCGCTAGGTAAGAGGAGCTGCTTGAGACTAATTGACAGAGGGAAAGGGGGGGGTTCTCTCTTAATTCCAGTGAAGAACGACCTAATTAGAAAATACATTGCTTGATGCACATTTAATATAAATTTAGATATGAGAAAGTGTTTTATATTACGGATTAATGACCCAAAACATTTTTCATGTTAAGCGAAACACAGATTAATGTTGCAGAATCAACATTTATAAATTGTATTACATGTTCTCAAGAGAGTAAACACTATTTGTAGTCTTATAACTTCATTAAAATTACAAATTTTTGTTTGTTAGCTTACAAATTTTTATTTGGATAAAATATTACAAGAGATTTTACTATCCAGAAGAAATATTTTTTTAAGAATATTTTTTGAATCTTTACAGTAAATATCAAAATTACCTGCAGTTTTATTCTAAATAAATGAAATTATAATTTTTAATCTTTTTATTACTTCTTTTAGCAATTTATTTCAATTTTTAAGAGTTTAGACATTTTTTAACGCCTGGAACACAATATTTTATTTTAATCTTATTATATCAATAATTATAATTAAGTTATTTTAACACATTGAAAGTATGAATTAAATTTAAAACGAAAGATAGTCAAGTAAAGGAAATTTAAGAAAATGTTTTTTTCTTGGATGTAATACATTCAAATGAAGTTTTCATTTCCGTTGCATAAATTCTAACGTACATTATTTTATTTTACAAATATTTGAATTTATTCATTTATTATTGCGTACTCTTTTAAATATATGTATTTGTTTAAATAATGTATTTGTTTTGTTTAAATTTGTATACTATTAAATTTATATACTATTACAAATAAGATGTTGAAAAATCTTCCTTTAAAAGCTATTTTTAAAATTTGCCAAATTGCTGACGTTGCCATTCATTATTCTTATTTCCCTGATTGTTGGAAAAGAGCTCGAATTTTGCCCATTCATAAGAAAGGTAAAGATCCAAAATCCCCTTCTAGCTACAGGCCCATTTCTCTTCTTTCTTCATTAAGCAAATTAATAGAGAAGGTCATTTTAAACTAAACAACAAAACAAATGAAAAAAATTTTAAACAAAACAAATGAAACTAAACAAAAAAATCTTCTCATTCCCCAACAATTTGGCTTTACTGAAAAATTATTTACAATGCATCAACTACTTAATCTCACTGAAACTGTTTCCGAGGGATTTTCCTGGAAATTAGATACTGCTGTGATTTTCCTTGATGTAGCAAAGGTATTTGATAGTTTGGGTCAATGGGTTAATCCAGTTAATAATTTTCAACTTTTCTCCTTTTCTTATTAAAATTATTCAAAATTATGTTACTAATAGAACTTTTGTGGTCTCCATTGGTAACACAGATTCTTCTGTTCAAAAAAATTCAGGCTGGTGTTCCCCAAGGTTCAATACTTGGACCATTTCTCTACAATATTTACGTTAATGATATTCCGCAAATTTATAATGTGAAAATCAGTCTTTTTGCAGATGATACAGCACTCCTCACTCAAGGTCGCAAACATTTTATCATTAGTAAAAACCTTCAGAATTATATTAATCATCTGGAACAATGGCTTATAAAATGGAAAATTCAACCGAAGCAGTACTATTCACGCGTAAAAGGGTTCTTAATACTCCTTCTATCAAAATTTATAATAATCCTATTAATTGGGCTGGGCAAACTAAATATTTGGGTGTAACCTTAGATCGTAAATTAAATTATGCTCCTCACATTAACTATCTTAGGGATAAATTTAATAGATGCATTCGTGTACTGTATCCACTCATTTGTAGGAATTCTATGTCCTTGGAAAATAAAAAGCTCATTTATCTTGCTTACTTGCGTCCAATACTTGCATATGCGAGTCCTGTTTGGGGATCTACTGCTCCGGCGAATTTCGAGATCATACAAAGACTTGAAAATAAAATCCTACGTATGATTACAGATTCGCCTTGGTTTTTCCGAAATGAGGATATCAGACGTGCTCTTTCCCTCCCAAGTTTTAAACAATTTGTGTATAAAACTGCAAAAAAAATTTTATAATTCCATTCCAAATATTAATAATTCCGTTTTGAACGATCTAAGCAACTATGTTTACGACATTTCTGATTTTAAAAATCGCAAAAGACCTCGCGCTGTTCTGAATGTTATTCATTAACATTTAGATATCCTCCTTTCCGAATGACCATGCAGTGTTTCCACTGAGTCACAATTTCCTCTCCAATCGTTATTGTTGGTTTCTGTCGTTTATCTTTTTTATTACCTACTTGAAATTATAATAATAATATTAAAAAAAGAATTATATATGCAGATTTTTTTTTAATTAATTAATAAAAATTTCGAATAATTAGTTTTTTTTAATAAATTAATAATATACTTATATTGCTTTTTTTTCTTCTATCTAATCAATGGGCTTAAAGCTTAAGAAACTTCCCTCACTCACAAAGCAGGAGATAGAGGTTGCTAAGCAACCAAGGTTCTCTATTAATCTGGCGCAAAAAATTGAAAACGCTTCTCTTCATTTGTACTCATGATATTTAAAAATTTAAACATATCTGCTATAATACATTAAGTATTTGAACATTGGCTATTATTTCATTCCATTGCAAAAAATAATAATAATAATAAATGATAAATAAATAAAATAAAATAAAACAAAAAATTAAAAAAAAATTATTTGCAGGCTAATATTCTGAATACTTTATTTCTGATACATGAAGTACTAGCTATTCCTGCATTGCTAGAATAAAGCGGGGAAAAAAAATAACGAAACAATGTTCATATGAAACGTCCCTTAATAAAGAAAAAAGGCTAAGTGAGGCGCAAGGATAAAATGTTCGAGATCCATTATGTTAACCCAATTATCTAGAAAATTATTCACTTGAATTCAATTAAATTAACACTTCACTAAAATGTTTCATTTACACTTCTAATGGAAATTAAAGTACTTTGTGTAATTGATTATTGAGTTTTCTCCAATTACACTTTGAATCTCATTAGCTTTTATATGATTATAATCTTTAAATTAAATTTGTTACAGCTTGAAATTTAAGGTAAATAGAATGTTCTGTGTTCGAATCTGAACTCAGCTCCTTTTCGCAAATTTTTGCTACGTTGTGCTCATAATTATTCATACTTTCCGACTAGTAATTAAGTTAGGTGTTTATTGTACGCTTTTTTACCCCTTTTTTTTGTAAGGAAATCAAAAAGATTAGAAAAAAAAATAAAAAAAAAATAATAATAATAAAAATTAAAATGTTTCTAAAAATAATAAACTTCGGTTCTGAGATCGACCTTTTTTTTGTGTTGATTATTCGTGTAACATTTGCTTTTCAGATCATTTCATTGGCTCTCACCGTTCAGCATAACCCTTTCACTGTTCTGTATACATTTATGTTTACGTTTTCAATAGTATTATGGCATCAACAACTGGTCCATAATTGTACCGAATTTAAACTTAACTTTTAACTTCTTTTATTTTGTTACCATTGTTATTAAAACTGACACACACACACACACACAAAAAAGAGGAAGTTTGAATTTAGTAATTAAATGAATTCAAAAAATATTTTAAAAACAGTCAAGTTTATAATGAAATGCCAATTATTTAAAATACCTCAAGAAGAAGGAAGTAATACATAGGATGTTATAATCCGTATTATGTCTGGCTCCCGAATGATTGTTCTTAGCCGTATTTTTATTTTTTATTTCCTAGAGGTTGTGATATACACAGGGTGATTATAATTAAAGTCCAATTTTCAATATGCTGTAAAAAACTAGAATAACGCGTTCAAATTTAAACTGAAGATATTTGAAGAAGGGGGAAACGGTGCAGCATCGAAAAAAGTTCCAAAGTGTAT